TAGGTGGTCATCTTCTCAAAGAACTAAATCACACCAATTTGGTGCTTATCCCCAAAGTGAGTCACCCTGTGAAGTTATCCCAATTCAGGCCTATTAGTTTGTGTAATTTCACTCTGAAGATCATCACCAAGATTCTTGCAAACCGGTTGAAACAAATTCTAAAGTCCATAATCTCTCCTAATCAATCAGCCTTTGTACCAGGACGAATGATTCAAGACAACTCCATTGCAACACATGAGGCTTTCCACTTTTTAAAACATAAAAGGACCGGCCGAGCACAGTTTATGGCCATTAAGCTCGATTTTAACAAAGCTTACGATCGAGTTGAATGGGATTTTTTATTGGAACTTATGCACCGAATGGGGTTTGCTCCGAAATGGATCCAGTGGGTCTCTGAATGTATCACTTTGGTCATCTTCTCTGTTTTGTCAATGGTGAAAAACGGGCTGCTTTTACCCCGTCTCGTGGGTTACGGCAAGGAGACCCCCTCTCTCCGTATCTCTTCATCCTAGTTGCGGATGTCTTATCCAAATTGATCACTCACAATCTTCACATGGGAGCAATTTCGGGTTTCAAGATCAATAGACACTGTCCCACTCCCTCCCACTTGCTCTTCGCAGATGACATGTTATTATTCCTCAAAGCAGACCAGTCTGAATGTTTGAAGATCTTGGATATCTTGAATTCCTATTGTACTTGTGACGCCCCGAATCTACACTATTGGTTGCAGTCAAGGGAGAGTCACTAATGAGTTCTATGGTCAATAACCAAGTAAGATCCCAGATCGCCGGAGGAGTCAAGTTAGCCTCCCTTCTAAGTCCGGCTTTCTTAGGTAGTGCACTACCCTTTTGACTGATCTTACCAGGTATTGACACAAGGTCTCATAAGCAACGATAAGGTGTATACATATATATATATATAGAGAGAGAGAGAGCATAAGTACATAACAACCACGAATATCCTTAATTTCAAAAGCTTGTTTCATTACATTATGTCTCAAAAAGAAAATTTAAATCTTCATATGAGTCTTACAAAATATCAAAAGGAAATTTCTAACTTTCCTAAGATAGCCAAAAGTCTTCAAAGGTTTCAGGCTCGTCGTCTCCTGCTATAAGTTCCTCTTCGGCACCTGGCATGATACGCCGTGAGCTTTGAATGCCCAGTAAACACACACACACCCCGCTCCTTTTTCCCAGTCCAATACGCAATCACAAATATAACATCAAGTAGTAAAGCATGATATTAAATAAATAAACGGTTACAAGTTAGATGTTAATAAACTAGAAATCTCCCAAAGAGATTTCGTCCTCCCAACCACAAGAATCGGACGCGGATTATTCGGTATGCCCCCTCTTTTGCTGCTTTGTTGCAGAACTAATCTTGAATGCCTACCAACGGTAATATACCGCGTAACGCCAACCGCAGGGCCTCAAAAGAGACGGTAAAAATAGGGCCTTGCCCGAATCCCTCCTTACACCAAATTTCAAAAGCTTGTTCCATTACATTACATCCCGAAAAGGAAATTTAAATCTTCATATGAGTCTTACAAAATATCAAAAGAAATTTCTAACTTTCCTAAGATAGCCAAAAGTCTTCAAAGGTTTCAGGCTCGTCGTCTCCTGCTATAAGTTCCTCTTCGGCACCTGGCATGATACGCCGTGAGCTTTGAATGCCCAGTAAACGCACACACATCCCATCCCTTTTTCCTGAGCCCAATACACAATCACAAATGTAACATCAAGTAGTAAAGCATGATACACAAAAAAATAAATAAATGGTTACAAGTTAGATGTTAATAAACTAGAAATCTCCCAAAGAGATTTCGTCCTCCCAACCACAAGAATCGGACGCGGATTATTCGGTATGCCCCCTCTTTTGCTGCTTTGTTGCAGAACTAATCTTGAATGCCTACCAACGGTAATATACCGCGTAACGCCAACCGCAGGGCCTCAAAAGAGACAGAAATAATGGGCCTTGCCCAAATCCCTCCTCACACCAAACCACCTAGGGTCCGAATACAACCGCTCCGTTCAAAGGTTCCGAAAACCACTTGCGCAAGACTTTAACTTCCAAATAGGGAATGCATCCCAACAATCCATACATCACACATTATCATCCTTTCATTACTCAAGTGATCGAAAACCCAATACCATCCCAATTAAGTTTTCCGTTGAGTTAAATGTTTTAAATCAAGGTTAGACCAACTTAACAAGATAATAATATCCACATAAGCATGCATCATTAAGATGCGGAAGATAAAGAACATAAGCATAACACATATAATATCATGCCACGATATGATCATAAGCTAATAAGCATTTTCATGAACTCAAGAGCATAAAACATCCATGCACAACAAAATTTCCAAATTCAATATCACATAAGGATTAGAATGAAATGACTATTTTAGATTTTTCACCAGACTCAGCCTTCCTATGGTTCGAAGAGAATTTAATCTAGTTTCCAGAGCATATTTCGGAAATGGGATAGCTTTTCTAGATTTTGAGTTATTTAGAAAACACTCCAGCGCTGTCCAGATTCTTCGACCGTTACAAAAATTTGATTTTCTTACAAATTGCTCACTGTTTTTCAATGAACCCAATTTTAGTTGAAAGATAACTCCTTAAGGAAGATTTTGACATAAAATAGAGGTCCATAATAATTTTCTACATTTTTCTAGAAATTTTGAAAGTTGGTTGCGAAAACAGATTTTAAGGCATAATACCCAAAACAAGAAGATTTGTGAGAAAAGGGATCCACTAAGGGAAAATTTTCGTTTCTTTTGTGATGAAAACATGCTAACTAACATATATTAAACAAAGAAAATTTGCTTGAAGGTGTGCCTTTGGAAATGAGAGATTGGTATGAAAAAGGTAGTTTTGTACCGAAATGAGGGAAACTACAAGAGACGTAGAATCATGGCTCAACTCTTATCATTTTTAACACAAGTAACTCATCAATAACACATCTGAAAACATTGCTTAGAACCCTTAAGAACATGTATTTGAAAAAGGAAAATAAAAGAGAAGGTTGTGTTGTGGCTTACTTGCTAAGCTTTGAACAAGATGGCTCTCATCTTCCTTCCTCTTCCTCTCAAGATTTCTCTCTTGCTCTCCTCTCTCTCCTCTAAGCCGAATGTGTGTGTGAGTGTGTTGTTTGTTTTTGCCATGCTAGGGAGTGGTGGTATTTATAGGCAAATTTTGTTGTAAAATGACATAAAAGTCCACTAGTTGGAATTGGATGGAAAAGTTGGGATTTACTTGGAGTCTAATGGAATAGGAGTGATTTGGGAGCTTAATCATTGGATTAGGCAATATCTAGTTGGTCCTTAGTTGAAATGAAACTAGTATTGGAAACAAAACCCTAGGTCTAGGGGTACTAGGTGTTAGGGTTCCTAGAATACCATGATTACAATTCTTGAAAATAGGTTCCTCACATCTCCCTAGGGTGGCCGGCCATTGGGAAGGGTGATGGGGCTTATTTTTTTTATTACTTTAGGTACTAAGGACACATCTCCCAATGTATATATATATATATATATATCTATTTGATTGATGGTACCTATAGTTTAAAGTACATGTACTAGTTTATAGGGCAAATCTTGAAATTAATAAAAGAAGTGAGGGCTTGGAGTAAAACTTATGTTTTGGAACCTTATTTATGTAGGATTAAACTAAATTACACTAAGGAACCTAATTCGGCTAGGATATTCCTGTTTCGATAAAAAAAATGCTAACCGACAAGATTCAAAATAATTCAAGGAACTGAGGGGCTTTAAGAAAATAATTCAAACATTAGGGTCTTTAAAGATAATACATTTTTTAGGGGCTTCACAGTACTGCGACCGGTCAATTGGTGAACTTTGACAAGTCTAGTGTCCAATTCTCACTCAATGTCCCTTTTCCCATTCACAGTAGCATTAGACATCTCTCTGGGCTTCGGGAAACTTCTGTTGATGCAAAGTATCTAGGCCTTCCAACTTTTTGGGGGAGGTCTAAGGTGGAGGCTTATGGTTTTATTATTGAGCGAGTACAAGCTAAATTGCAGGGCTGGAAACTTAAACTGCTTTCTCATGCAGGGCGAGAAATTTTAATAAAAGCTGTGGTGCAAGCTATCCCATCTCACATCATGGCATGTTTTATTTTCTCTAAGAACTTTTGTGCCAAACTCAACTCTCTCATAAGAAAATTCTGGTGGAATGGCGAACCGGAGAGCAAGGGCATTCATTGGGTGAACTGGGCCCAATTGACACTGCCAAAATCTGAAGGGGGGTTGGGCTTCAGAGATTTTCATGACTTCAATCTAGCCTTGGTAGCAAAGCGAGGATGGTGCCTGGTCAAGTATCTAACTCCTTCTGTGCTAGAATGTTAAAGGGGATCTATTTTCCTCATTCTAACTTCATGGAAGCCTCTAGGGGTCGGTGCGCCTCATAGGCTTGGGCAAGTTTGATCCAAAGCAGAACACTCCTATGCAAAGGTGTCCGTTGGCAAGTATATAATGGTGTTTCCATTAAATTTTGGGATGATAAATGAATCCCTTCTCTTCCGGGATTTAAAGTTTCCTCCCCAAAACCACCCATTAGCCAGGTTAACGCAGTAGTGGACACAATTGATACTACTCATGGCCTTTGGAAAGTCGATACTCTGCAAGGTCTGGTCTCGGCGGCCGAAGTCCAAGCAATCTGTTCAATTCCTATTTCTTTGACTCACCATGAGGATACACAGATTTGACATCATGAGAAATCGGGTGTTTACACAGTCAAATCGGGCTATCACGTTGCGGGCCAGCTGAAGAACATCCCAAATGCTCAACTTTCCTTCACCTCTTTCCAGATTCCACGGGATTTTTGGCAATTTGTTTGGTCTCTCAAGGTTCCTCCTAAGATCCGCCATTTTTGGTGGCGAGTGTACAAGAATGCTTTGGCAACTAAGGAGAATTTATTCAGAAGGAAATGCAGCCCATCAAATATGTGTCCTATTTGCATGAATGAAGTGGAATCAATGGAACATTTGTTGTTTGGCTGTGGTTGGGTCAGGGCTGTATGGTTTGGGTGTGATTTGAATTTTAGAGTAGATTGGACTTCTATCTCCTCTGTCCTTCACTGGGTTTGTGCGGTGCGAGAATCATTTCTTCACAAAGAAGAATGCATCCAATTTTTTAGCTCAGTTGCTTGGTTTAGCTGGTTTGTTTGGAAGGAGCGCAATGCCTTTGTGTTTAATTCCACCCCAATAGACCCCTTCTCTACCATTCAGCGAGCTCAATGGGCCAGAGATGAGTTTTTGCAAGTTACAGAGATTTCTAACCTCATGCGCCACAAGTCCTTCATCCATATCTCCCAAAATTCTGGGTGGCATCCCTCTCCCAGTGGGAGTTTTAAGATTACTTGTGATGTGGCTACTCTTGAGGGATTTGACAAAGCTTCCATCGTAGCTATTTTATGGGATTCACAGGGGATCATCCTTGACGGTTTGACTCAGCAAGTTTCTATAGTTTCTGTGCTTCAAGGCGAAGCTTTGGCCTATCGTCTAGCTTGTCAGCTTGCCTCTTCCCTCAACCTCCCTAGAGTCGAGATCGCAAGCGATAACAAATCGGTAATCCTTCTCAGTGTCTCCAAATCTGTTACTCCATGGGAATGTGCTGTTGTGATTGCTGATATTAAACTGATGGCCCTTTTCGGTGATTTCTCTTTTCTGTGGAGGCCACGGACAGCCAACAAAGTGGCCCACTGGGTGGCTCATCATCATCTTCGGAATAGTCTCCCTCTTGACTAGGTCTTCAATCCTCCTCCTGGGCTTGTGGCTTGTCTTGCCTCGGCTTAGATTTATTTGCTGTACTGGTTTGTTTTGCTGTTTTCTTTGCTGTGCTGTTTTTCTGTAATGTCCACTGATCCAAAAAAAAAAAAAAAAACTATGTGTTCAAACTATTGTATCTCCCTCGTCGTAACTTCGTTCCGCTTCATTTTTGCGTCATTGGATTTATCTCATGGCCTAGTTTTCATTCTAACCATAATACGTCTTATTCTACCTATTTTTACGTGCTGTCAGAGCTCCAAAAGTTAGCCACATGTTCAATCCCTTGTGTTTCCCTCATTGTAACTCTGTTTTGCCTCATTTTCCCATTGTTGGATTCATCTCATGGCCTAACTTTCATTCTATCCATCACATGCCTTGTTTCACCTCTTTTTGCATGCCATTGGAGCTCCAAAAGTTGGGGAAAATAGGTTTCTCTCTCTATCTCTCTTTCCTTTTTTTTTCCCCTCTTCAATCTTCTATCTCTATGCTTTTTCTTTCCTCCTTTCTTTCCTCTTCCTTGATGGCCCTTCCACCAAGCTCTTGATAGCCATCAAACAACCGACAGTGGTGGTATTATTGAGTGGTTAAAACTTTAGCTTCATTTTATTTTAGAGAGAATATTATTGGCATAGTTTTGTAGCCAAGAAAAGAAGCCAATAGAGAAAAATCTTATTTTTAGCCAACTTTAGGAGCTTTGATGGCACACAAAAGGAGATAGAACAAGGCGTATGATAGGTGAAATAAAAACTAGGTCATGAGATAAATCCAATGATGTAAAAATAAGGTGAAATGAAGTTACGACGAAGGAGATATAAGGACTTGAACATGTGGGCTTGGATATAAAAATTAAAAGAAAAAAAAGAGAGAAAAATCTTATTTTTAGCCAACTTTCGATGCTCAAATGCCATGCAAAAGGAGGAGGAACAAAGTGTATGAGAGATGAAATGAAAACTAGGCCATGAGGTGAATCCAACGATGTAAAAATGAGGCGAAACGAAGTTACGACGAGAGAGATACAAGAGATTGAACATGTGGGTTTAAATTTGAAAATTTTGTTCAGATTTCCGTTGGTTCAATTAGACGGAGATGGACGGAAGGACTAAATTGTGACACAGAAGTAATATCAGTGTTTTAATTACTACAATTGAATTCATAGGATTTAAATTGAAAAATACGTAGAATCCAGAGTTTTTTTTTATACTTTTTTTTTTCCGAATTTGCCCCCTTTTTTATATACGATTTGATTTATTTTCGTTTTGAATGAATTTTTTTTTTTTTGACTCAATGTTTCTCATTTTTAAAATTTTGTAGCCAAAAAACACACCTAAAAAAATTATAAAATAATTGACTAAAAAGAGAAGATATTTTAGTTTTATTGCAAAAGGATTAAATTTTTTCTAATCAAACATCTATTACTTTTTCCAAGTTCTATATTAGTGGACGTTGTTGGTTTCATTTAATACAATCTTAACTAATGGCCCAAGACACTTGTTATCCAAATTCATATATCCATCAATATGATATAATTTTAAAAATTTTGAGTCTTTATAATTTGCATAATAGGTATGGTGTATAATTTTAAAATAACAATGACATAATATATGTTAATATACTAATTAATATATCAATTAGTACATACAGTATTCCTATAAAATAAAAGTTTGATGAACGAAAATCTATGTGTCAATAAATTCCCACAACAATGCTAGGTACCTCAAATTTTTATGGCTCAAATGGCTCAGATCTATCAAAACGACGTCGTTTTGATAGATTTTGAGTGCAAAACGACGTCGTTTTGACAGATTTGAGCCACAAAATTTTGAGTTATCAAACATTTTCCAAATTCCCAATAGAATTAATTAGACATTCAAACCATATGAAACTTAAGCACTCGTTTGGCATAAGGTTATGAGTTTAAAATAGTTACAAAAAGATAAAGCCTTAGTTTGGGATGTGGGTTGACTTTTTTTGGCTATTTTAATTTGAAGTTAAAAAGTCTTGTTTGTGATAGATTTTTTGGCTTTTTTGATTTTTGTGAAAGAAAAATAAAATAATTATGATTTGAATGTGACATTTTGTTTTATTAACTATTTAGTTTATTTTGTCTTTTTATGACTTATTTTAACCCAAAACCAAGATGCCAAACAAAGCCAAAATAGACTAAAAATTAATAAGATAAAATGTTACATCTAAATCATAATCATTTTATTTTCCTCTCACAAAAGTCAAAAAAAATTTAAAAATTATCCCAAATAAATTTTTTTAATCTGAAACTAAAATAATTAAAAAAATTAAAAATTAACCCACAATCTAGACAAAGAGGTTAAAGAAAAATATTCTAACGAAAGATAAGAAGAAACGAGAGGGAGAAAAAAAGATACGATTCTTGAGAGAGAAAAGATTGTCCGTCATGACTCTCAACAATAACCTTCTTTTTGTTTTTTATTTTTTATTTTTTATTTTTTTTAAGTAACAAAAACTTTTTCTCAGGACAGGGGAATGTGTACTAGTAGAACATTTTTCTAAAGAGTATTCCGGAGGGAAAAAAAAAAAGTCACAAGAGCATCTCCAACTAGTGGTGTTATAATGCTATTATTATTGCTATAATTTGATATAAATAGTGTTATTTTGTCAAATTATAGCAATGATGCTCCAATGATCATTTACTATTTTAGCATATCTCAACTAACTTTCCCTCTAAGTTTGTAGGTGTTGTTTAGATATATGTTTTTATGTGATTTTATTTTTATTTATTTTTTGTCTTTTGTGACATTTTTTTACTTTCTTGGAAAAAAAAAATTATGTATTTATATTATTCCCAACTAGACAAATATAAAAAATTTTAAAAAAATTAAAAAAATGGAAAAAAAAAAAAAATATAATTCACACACCAAAAAATATATCACTATATATTTAATAAATTCTTTTAACTACACATAAAAAATAAACAATCACCAATTACCCACCAACTAGACAAATATAAAAAATAAAAAAAAAATTAAAATTCAGATATATATATATATATATATAAATTTTGGCAATTATATTTGAAATGAAATTAAAAAGAGGAGAAAATAAAAATGATATATATAACCTTTTTATTTCAGATAATTTTTTTTGGCAATTATATAAAAAAAATTAAAAATTAAAAAGTTAAAAATATATATATTATTCATCACACTGCCACTACAAAATTAAAAAATAATAATAATCATGCTTCAACCTTCATAACCACTCATTTTTCTAGCCGTTGGATTACATCAACGGGTGCCATCACATCCTATTTGATCAGACCACACTCTCTTTCTCTCTCAATCTTTTTCATGTCCTCATTTCTTCTCACATTTCTTCACAGACAGAGAACTCATTTCTTCTCACATTTCTACACAGATCGTTCTCTCTCTCTCTCTCTCTCTCTCAAATCCCTCTTCACATAACACAAAGAAGATGAAAACAAACATGAGAACCAAGATCATAGATCATTCTCCCCCATTTCGCAAATCTCATCAAGGAGCCCTATTCGAGCCCTCTTTGCAGATCGCAAAGATTGAAACCCTCGTCTCAAATCCATCAACCACTAGAAATTCCTAGTAAATATTGTTACTTCTACTCCTCCATGCAGAGTCCTCCTAGGATTCATACTCCTGAAAGATAATGCTTATCCTTCAACACCCCCCTCACTGCTTAAACCAAGTGAGATGGTTATTATCATGGCCGAACTCCCATATGACCGAAGTTCCCACGGCTATGCTGAGCCACAGAGTAAGCCGTACTATCATTAGTTCGGTTCTTCCTCTCGTTGCACCTTATCTCGATTCTCTCATGCACGAACCATGGTGTGTTTGGACCGAGCTACCGAGTAGCAAGGTTCTGACCGATCTATCCAGAATACGCCATGACTGGACTAACTCTGAGACCGGTCTAACTCCAAGTTGCCCGGACCGAAGTAACTTAACATTTCTTCTGGGCCGGAGTAACTTTATCTCTATTGGGCCGGAGTAACTTTTCGGCCTTTTTACCCAGTCCTTCGTACTTTGGGCCATAAAGTCCATCTCATAGCTCAGCCCAATTTTCACCAAAATTACCCTCTCAATTGCCCCTTAATTCCATCTGCACAGCATGATTGGGATTACCTGTCTATCAGCCGAGCCGAAGTTTTTAAGCCTTTCCAGCCGAGCTAAAAAACCCTTTAGCCTCCCCAGTCGAGTTAGCACTAAGCCAAACTATCCTTATCCGGTCAGAACGTCGCTTCAATCACAGAACTGAATCACTTCCTTTTCCAATGACACGTGGCAGGCTCCGATTGGTTGGGGGCAGCTGTCACGCCGCCCTCGTACTCCGAAAAAATTTGAACAATTCCCGCCCTTCCTCTCTCTTTGCACACAACAAATCTTCTGTCCTTGAATCATTCATCTACACTATTCTTCATCTTCTCTTTCTGTGCCTCTACTTTTTTAACTACCAAGCTCGTGCTCTTCATTGCTGCTACTGTTTTCATCTCCAGTTCCCTCTTCTTACCTGGAAAGCAAATCCCTCTCTCTTGCTCTGTTTGCTTTTGTATTTTGCTTTCTATATTTTTGCGAAACATATTTGTCCACTTCTGTTTTGCTTCTGTACTTTTATAGAAAAAACTTTAACAGTAGAACGCATGAGCATATGATAAATCCTGTAGAAAACTAGCTTTTGATCCAGAATCTTGTCCCAACCGAACTAGGAGACTGTTTGTGCTATATATGTAGATTAATTCAGATAATAACCGAACTAGATACCAACTCCTGATTCACTTTAGCCAAGATAAGCTCACCGAACGAAGTTTGAACTCAGTAAACTAGGAACCTCGGTCTTCAACCGAGCTAAGCCTTTGGGGCTAAGCCAACTTTCTTAGTTTCTAAACCAAACTCAGAAAGCTGCCCCTAGAGGCTCAACCGAAGTAACAAAACTCATAGTTCAAACCGAGATAACCACCCTTATACAAAAAC